CACTTATACTTACTTTGCTGCTTATGCAGCTCTCTCTATCACTTTCACTCTCTACTCTTCTTCTTATCACCTCTATCTTCTCTATCATCATCACTGTCTTTATCACTCTGTAACTCTCTTCTATTACTTCTATCTTCTATTCTCTCTGTTATTATCACTGTCTTTATCATCTTACAATCTCTCTCTATCACTTTCACTCTCTATCTCTACTCTCTTATTACTTCTTTTACTCTCTATCTTCTCTATTATCATCACTGTTTCTATTATCTCTTTCACTTCTACCTTCTCTATCATCATCATCATCTCTACTACTCTGCAATCTCCCTCTATCACTTCTACTCTCTATTACTTCTACTCTCTAGACTGATCACTAAAATTATGAATTTCATATTTAATCTCATTTAATCTGATCTCATACATTTCTTAGTGTGAATCTTACTGAGACTAATCATTAAAAAAACATGCAAAGTGACTATTCATCAAATCTTAAAATGAAATTATAACTTAGAAAAAATAAGAAAGTGATCTTCTTTAATTCTATTTAGTCTCATTCTTGACATAAGGTTACTATTTTTAGACATTTTAAGGTTTTTTTTAGACTATTTTTAATTTTTTAAAAAGTAATGCTTTTTGATAGCACTCAAATGAGATTTAAAGTTATTTAAAGCAATAAAAAGAATTTAAATTGAGAAGTGAAAATCATGATCTTATTTAGAAAATGTGATAAGAGTAGATAGTAAGTCTCACTGAAACAATGTAAAACTACTACCTAATCTTCAAACTGTGTAATGAGATTAATTAAATTGATAATAAAATTATTAAATATTCTGATTCTGATCTCAGACACAGTTATATAGTCAGTCTATTACTCTTTATCACTTCTACTCTTTATCACTTTTACTCTCTATCTCTACTCTCTTCTTATCATTTCTATCACTAGACTAGTCACTGAGATTATAAATTTTATATTTGATTACATTTGATCTGATCTTATACATTTCTTAGCATGAATTCTACTAAGACTAATTATTAAAAAAAACATGCAAAGTGATTATTTATCAGATCTTAAAATGAAATCATAACTCAGAAAAAATAAGAAAGTGATCTTATTTAATTTCATTTAGTCTCATTCTTAATGTAAAGTTACTATTTTTAGACATTTTAAGGTTTTTTTAGACTATTTTTAATTTTTTAAAAAGTAACACTTTCTGATAACACTTAAATGAGATTTAAAGTCTTTTAAAGTAATAAAAAGAATTTAAATTGAGAAGTGAAAATCATAATCTTATTTGAAAAATGTAATAAGAGTAGATAGTAAGTCTTACTGAGACAGTATGAAACTACTATCTAATCTTAAAATCATGTAATGAGATCAATCAAATTAGTAATGAGATTATTAAATATTCTGATTCTGGTCTCAGACACAGTTATATGATCAGTCTATATACTACTATAATACTGTAATTACAGTGATTTTTAATCTGATTCAGTAGAAAGTCTTTGAATTCTTCTCAAGTTATAGTAGTATTAATACACTTAAGCTCTCTCTTCTTAATAACTTAAGTAGTTACAGAGATGTCTTCAAGAAGATTAACAGTGTATATTACTTATATTTTATAAGTATTAAACTTACTCAGATTAAGATGAAATTTCTGTTTAAGAGTATAAGTGAAGTTATAAAATTCAGATAATATATTTCTCTTATAATTTAAAGAATTTTCAATCTTAATCTCTCTATCTCTATAATAGATGTAGAAGTGTAGAGACTGTAATAATAATAAAGTAGTTGAAAAGATTATATTTAAATATATAATGAGTTTAGAAATCTTAGATTTTCACTGAAATAGAGATGTATATACTCTAGAAAATAATATGAAGTTTTTCTCAGAGATTGAGATTAAGTTAGTCTTAGTATAGATATATAAGACTATATTAATCTATTAATAGAGTTTAACTGATTCAAACTTATAATCAGATTAAGTAATTTAAATTATAATATAATAAAATTAAAGCAGTCACTAGTTAGTAGTATTATATAGAAATAGTTATTTAAGAAGCTGTATAAGTAAGCTTAACTATCTTACTTAAATAATAAGCCTGTGAGCTACAGAGTTATTATAAATATATTATAGATATAGTACTTAGTATACTAAGAAGATTGTATAAGAAATATAGTAACTCTTATATATATTATCAGTAGAAAATGAATTACTAACTTCTTTAATAAGAAGTCAGTATCTAGCTATTTTTAGACTGACTGACAGAATCATGAATTTCATATTTGATCTCATTTGATCTCATCTCATACATTTCTTAGCATGAGTCTCACCAGAACCAAGCATCAAAAAAATCTGAAAATGAATCATTTCTGAGAGAAATGACATGAAAAATAATCAGATTTAATACAAAAACAGTGAAATAAGAGTAATTTCTCAGAATAGACTGTGAAAGATGATCATTCTTTTAAAATCAGAATAAGACTGAGACTGAAGATCAAATTCAGTCTCATTCAGTTCATTCAGTAATTGCTTATATAATCAGAATTTGGTAATAATTATTAATAACACTCATGAAATAATTAAATACATTCTTGTATAAGTTTATTCTTCACTTTCTCATGAAAACTACACTTCTCTGATATACTGTAATTAGAGATATTAAACTATCTAATAATTTCATGTTTTATAATTATAAGTTTCTTGATTATTTCTTCTTATAATTGTTCTCAGTGATAGTGATAAATATCTTAACTTGAGTTAAACTTTCACTTCATTCTTATCTCTGTCAATGAAATTGTCAGAATATCACACATTATCAGTGTAATGATTGAATATATACTCTCAACAATTTTTCATAACTCTAGAATTGATTTGATGTGTAAATTTATTAAATTATCTTGAAGATAGCAGTCAAATTCAGTTTTACAAGCATGTAGTTTTGCCTGATTTTCAGTTATAATCAATGTATATAAGTTCTGTTTCAAAGTTAGTATTATAGTTCTATATAATATGAAGTATTATCAAAAATCATTACTTACTAGAGAATTGTATTTCACTGTCTTCATATCTCTAACATCTACTCATTCAAATCTCTGATAGTTGACATTGTAGTAATCTCAGACTAATTTAATATATAAGTCTCATTTCTTCTCTATTCAATCTTGAGAAGTGTAGATATTAACTCAATGAGAGAAATCTAGTAGAGCTGCTACAGTATAGTACTCTGTAAAAGATTGTTCATTTTTACTGTAATAATATATCAGTTTATTTCTTACAGTAATAATAGTCTGTGCTATAATATTATCTCAGACTGAATTTCTTTTTAAGTGATTTAACTGCTTCTTAAGATAAGTAAATAAACTGTTATATATTTATCAGACTGACTGCAGTATTAATATATAAGTGATTGAGACTATCTTCATTATCTTATAAAACTGAAACAGTAAATTAATCATATATTTCAACTGAGTTCACTTTATATCAGAAAGTTTCAATATCTGAGTCTTTTCTTAGTCAGAGTATTACACTCAATGATTAATTATCTGATATAATTGAAGAGTCTGAACAGTTATCTTATATATTGAACTTCACTGTATTCTAACATTCTGTATTATATTCAGTGATGTTGTAACATGGCAGAACTGAAGCAGTGACTAGTCAGTGATATCATGTAGAGATAGTTATTTAAGAAGCTGTATAAGTGAGCTTGACTATCTTGCTTAGATAGTGAGCTCATAGACTACAGAGTTATTATGAGAATATTACAGATATGATACTTAGTATACTAAGAAGATTGTATAAGATATGTAGTAACTCTTGTATATATTTCAGTAGAAGAAAATTGAATCACTGACTTCTTTGATAAGAAGCCAGCATCTAGCTATTCTATATAGATAATGAGTGAATACTCTTCTCTCATTTCATGAGTGAGAATAGCTGAAGTGATATCTCAGTGATATCATATTATTAAGAAAGAGTAATCTGCTGATCTTGTATAGAAGTGAGATTCTCATATTTATTAATCAGATCTTTCTATAATATATCTGAATGATGTCATAGAGTGATTGAAAACTGGTTTGAACAGTCTGCAGAATGAATGAAATCATTCATATGAAAGTAATAAGCTGTGTGAAACTGTAGTGAGGTCTTAGTATGGTCAGAAATATGATAATACTCTCTTCTTTAAGAGCATAGTTCTGATGTTCTCAAGACTATCAGATTAGAAATTATCATTATTATATAGTAATAGTTATTAACTGATTTGACAGTGTATATACTATGTGTGATATAAAGAAATAGATGAGTTTTTCTACTGACTGTGTAGATCTTTCTTTTCTCATCTTTATTTAAACTAAATATATAATAAGTGAGTTTCTGATATATTGATTTAAAATGTGGAAAATGTAGTTAATAAGTGACTTACAGATCTCTCATCATATTCTGTTCTATATATGAAATTCTCTGTAAAAGTGATGTGTTTTAGAGACAAAGCTAACAGTAGTAACAGGATTTTTTAAAAAGATCTCTTCTCTCTGTGACACATTTTTCTCTCTCTTCTTCATCTGTAATAGTGAGTGTATGAGAGCATTATTCTTGAGAGATAATAAGAGACTTATTCTGATGTTTTCTAGTGAATAATAAACATCTTTATAGTGCAGCTGCGGTCTCTGTGACTGTCAAGAAAGCCAGATTGAAGACAGAAGCAGCAGTGTCAATGAGCTGCGGGAGCATCACTCTCATTATCATATCTTCTTCTTTTTCTTCTTCTCCTGCTTCTCTTACAGCTGCAGTAATAGTCACTATGCCTTGCAGTGAGATGTCATCTCTTCTGCTGATTAGTTCATTCATATTCAGTTCTTTCTCTGCTCTTCTCACTGCTGTTGTAACATCATTCTTCTCTTCAGTCAACACAGTGACATATGACTCTGTGTGATTATTTAAAGAGAAACTCAGAGAGAGCTTGATTCTGAGAACAGTGACTCTGAGAAGCTCAATCTGTAGTTTCTCTTCTACAGCATATCTGAGCCCTGCTCAGAATACTGCTAAGTTGAGTCTGCAGAGTCTTATAATTTCTTTATCTTCTCTCTGTAAAGAGGCTCTGATGCAGCTTCTGACTGATATTATCATCTATCTACACTGCACTAAGCAGCTGAAGAAGAGAAGAATTTTATACACTCACTTCTTCTCTTACTTCTGTTATTTCTGTTGCATCTGTAACAATGACTTCTATCTCTCTGTAAGTATTATTTCACAGAAAGATGTTATATCAGCTCTGACAAGAAGTCTAGATATTTAAGCAGTACAGAGTGAGAATCTTAAAGCTTTAAGTATTGATAAATTCTGTCAAGACTGAGAAGATCTCTCTTGCTCATCTGTAAAAGAAGATGAAAGTATGAATCTTTAAGATAAAAAAACATCTCAGAATGACTAATCTTAAGAAGAGATTAGTCAGTACTGCTGTTAAAAGTACTATGAAGATCAATTACTGATTAAAGAGAATCTCACTTCAATTAAAGCAGATAACTGAGATGCTTTATAAATTAATAAGTTAATACTTTAAGTATCTCTCATACTTTTCTACAGCATGCTTCTCTGCAGTGCTGCTGTACTAACTTCTCAGCAGATAAAGATATTAGTATCAGAGACTTCAATAATAAAGAATGAGTTTAATAAGAATATCATTATTAATAAGTAGACTCTGAAATTCTTCTCTTTTTACTTTTTCAGTGAGCTGTGATCTTATTTAGAATAGCAGCAGCTCACAGATTAATAATATTAATCTTTATTAATTTTAAATATTTCTTTTCTTTAACTGCTTCAGGAATTTTACATTTATATAGTCTCATTAAACTTCTAAAAATTCTTTAAAAGAAAATAGAAGAAGAGTGCTACAAAGTTAATAAAATATCAGCTCATCACTGTAAGATTATCTTTAAAAAACTCTTTAAGAAAAATGAGAAGTCTCAAGCAGTATTTCTTACTTAATATCTCTGATATATAACAGAATGATCTCTACTAGTTATCTTATAGCTTACAATCTCTTTCTCAGTATTTTTCAAATACTCAAATAATTCTTATAAATTCTCTGATAATAAATAATCTTCTTATTTAACAAGATATTGAAGCTTACTGTAATATATTTACTTATTCAATATTTTCTTCATAAGATATTCAGTATCACTCTCAATCTCAATATTATTCAGCTGAGACAGCTTCACTCTGAGACATTACTTATAGAGCTTTAAATAGAAAATGTGAAAAATAGAATGAATTGATTTCAATTCTAAGAATAATTTCAACTTATATATCTGCTTACTCATTACTCTTATTACTGAGAAAGATTCTAGCTATCACTTACTGAGCTTCTTATACAGTCTTATTATCTTGATATTCTTTACTGAAAGTAGCACTTGATTCTCTATTAAGAACTTCATTGAAAGATGTTTTTAATTATAGTATTCTGTCTGCTGCTTCTGAGTATGATAGATGCTTTTCACTGTCTTCTCATGAATTTTATTCAAAAGTTTCAATCTTACTTTTACTTCTGATACTGAGAAATACTCTATTCTCTGTATTTATTTAATATTCTGACTGTCTATCTCTCTCTTTGAAATATCATCTGTGATATTACTGAGTAATGAAGAATTATATTCATAATAAGTATAGAAAGAAGATATCTTTAAAGTTACATTCTTTGTATTATTATATACAAATTCAGTAGTTAGAAGATATTTGAGTCAATCATTCTGATAATATGAATAGAATACTTGAAGATGCTGTTCTAGTATCTGATTCTGATCATGAATATTTTTCATCTGCATCACAATATTGCATTTAAGACTAGATATCAACTGCTTCATCATGAACTCACTTGATTTTTCAAATAAGAATCCACTGATAGATTCATTGAAAAGTCCTTAATTATACAAGCATTCTGACCCCATCACTGACTGCATACTCTGTGTGATGATGAAGTTATTCAGTCAAATGTGAACCAGACATTGTTCAAAACTTCTGTGTGAGAGTATTCTTCATTCTCCCCTACCACATCACAACCCCGGGCCAAAGTGTCATACAAATTGTAAGGTGAAGAGACCTAGCTATAAGCATCAATCTTCTTGATTTTGAAAGATCTCTGATCTGTAGTTGTGGAGATATCTGAGGAGCAACCTCTGTGAAAACCCTGTTCATCTTTGATATTTCAAAACATCAATGCCAAGTCTCACTCTTGTACCGCCCTTTCTAATCTGGCTCATTCCCAGCAGAAAAATATAAAAAGATATCTCAGTAATAATATCAAGCATATAATCAACAGTCACTTCTGAAGTGCAATCTTCAGTCTGTCTTCAGTGTATCTAGACATTAATACCAAGTCTCACCCTCATACCACCTCTCTCAATCTGGCTCATCTCTGACAGAAAAGTACAAAAAGATATCTCAGTAACTGTACTTAATACATAATCAGCAGACACAACAACTATAAAATCAGTATATCTCAAGGTCTGACTGAGCCTTTGATCCCTGCACAGTGAGATATATTAAATCTAGTTTTAATATCTCAATATTCAATAGATTCTGCAAGAGATTGAGAACAGCAACACTAGATTTCTATTGAATTTGAGAATTAACTCTATATTAATATAATCATTGACAAAGTCTTCTATTTTGAGATATAAATAATCAGTTTCTCTACATCCCGCTGACAATATTTATATTATCATATAGAAACAGACTTATATTCTCTATAATATCAAGACTCTGAAGAGGGAAAGTCTTGATAGAGAGTATACAGTAGTGTATATCTTAGCAGTTTCTATCTCATTCTTCTGCAGCAGTTAATACAAAAAAAAGATTTTAGAAATAGTTTTTTACTTCTCTTGAAAAAGTAAGATGTTTTTCTCTGGGTTTTACACAATATTCTTACAAAGAATTAAAAACAGAGTTATTTTCTGTCATAATTTCATATTCTTTTAAGTAAGAATTACTTTTTCAGTGACTGAAGAGCTTTTATTAATACTTAATTCTTTTTTATACTCTTTATTAACTGATTTGAGTTGCACACTTGTTATGTGAGAAGAATTGAATAATTTAGAATAAAATTGAATAGTTTTAATCAATTTCTCTGCAAAAAATTGATTTATTTTTTGTCAGTTTTTCTCTCAAAAACTGTCATATTATCTGATTTACTATCAATTGATATCATACTTTTCCTCACTGTATCTCAAGAAAGAGATTGTAAAGATTTTATTGATTTATCTTAAAAATCAAGTTTAGTTTATTAGATTCTCTTCAAAAATCTAACCTAGTTACTGAACTAGTGTGAAAAAAATCAGATATTTTATACATAAAAGTCTGTTATTCTTCTTTTGAAATAGTCTGATCAACTTTTCAATTGAAAACAGACTTAGAAATCTCTTAATTGAAACAGTCTGACCAACTTTTCAATTCAAAAGAGTTTAATAAGATATCTCAATTGAATTAGTCGAAT